TCGGGCTCCCTGCTCTGCGGGAAGCCTGCTTCTCCCTCTCCCACTCCCCCTGCTGGTGTTCCCTCTCTCACTGTGTCTCTATCAAATAAATAAATAAATAAAATCTTAAAAAAAAAATTAGACAAAATCTTTCTTTTTAGAGGGAAGAAAACTCCTCTGGTAACTCAGTCTATGAAGATGCCATTAGTGTTTCACTCTTATTGTGATCCTTAGAAATGCCATCACTTACAGACTTTAATTCTAAGATAGCAGTAAGTGCAAACCATACCAAAAACTTTTGGGGAGTAGAAAAAAGAAGTACCTGGCAGTTTGTTTTTAAACAGTTTTAGAACACCACCTCAGTTTTAAAACGTTAAAATATGAGAAAAAATAAAAATGAAAATCATGGGTCTTCCAGCTAAAATGTGGTAGTAAAAGCTTCCTTGATTAGCATTTAACTGGAAAGTACTACTTTGCAAGAATATCATTCAAAAATGCAGAATTCCTTGTAAACAATTCACTCTCTTCAATGTCCCAGAATAATTAAAATGTGATTCAATTTTCAACATTCAATGTTATATGAAATTTTCTAGGCACATGGCAAACTACCCACATACTTAAAATATTTTTTAAATAAAACTCTTAAATGAACTGATACACACACATCAATTAAACACAAAGCAAGAATTATAACAAGAATACCAATTTTAAAAAATTTTAAAGAGTTAAAAAACAAGGTAACAGGATACGTCCAAACTGTTCAACAAGTTCAGGTGGGAGAGGAACTCTTCGGATGGAACTGATCTCTGGAAGGTTGGGTACCGACAGCAAACCAGGCCCCTGTAGAGGATAATCCATATCTGACATGCCAGAAACAGTGGGATTATCTGCAAGTAATAAAACAAAGCATTTAATAAAATAATAATGTTTGGGCATCAACTAGGCATACTGAAGCACTGCAAGCTAAAAAAAATTGTGCATCTGGTGGTTGTAAAAGGTACAGAGAGAGAATAAAATAGTTCTCACCCAATACAAAGGAGGCCTGAGAAAATCCAGTGTTAAGGTGGGGGCAATTACAGGTTTCAGCACTAAACACAAGGTTATCTTTCACAAAGATGCCATTAGAAAGGAAATACTTAGGTCAATAATTTAGGCTTTTTTTCCTATTATTTTAGGAATCTGAAATGGGCAAATATTTATAAAACCACTTTGTGATTGTCAGATAAAACAATTGTGAACAAAAGATTGAGGAAAAAATAGATTTCTTTTCCCACTTAAATATTAATAGATTAAAACAATCTATGCATTTTTCTGTTAGACCACCCCCAAGACCAATAAGATAAATACAAATAATACCACATAAGCAATATTTTATTGGGGAAACCACAGACTGCTCTATAAAGTGTTCTCATTTGGCAACCTTTCTCTTGCCCTAAGACACAGTCACCTAAGGGCAGGAGTGCGCTGCTCTATTCAGCCTGTCCTTTCTATGTCTTGAACAGGGAGGTGTTCTTTAGATCTGACTGATGACCTATGTTTATCCCAGGCACCTTTCCAGGCTCTCTTTAAGTACGAAGATGTTGGGGGAAACTGACATATAAAAGAAATTCTAAATGTATTAGGGAAATTTAAAATATACAACTAGAGAGAAAAATGCAATCAATTCCTATGTACTGATTGATTACCCAGTTTCAACAATTACCAATAACATGCCTGATCATGTTTCATTTATATCCCTAGCTATTTCTTCCCTAATGGATTTTTTGAAACAAATCCCAGACATCCCATTTAATCTTAAAACATAATTTTAATAGGATACTGCACAGGGCGCCTGGGTGGCTCAGTCGTTGAGCATCTGTCTTCGGCTCAGGTCATGATCCCAGGGTCCTGGGATCGAGCCCTGCATCGGGCTCCTTGCTCCGCGGGAAGCCTGCTTCTCCCTCTCCCACTCCCTTTGCTTGTGTTCCCTCTCTCACTATGTCTCTCTCTGTCAAAAAATAAAATCTTAAAAAAAAAAAAGATATTGCACATGTTAAATGGCAGTGGGAATACAAAGGATGGAATTATTGACTACAATAAGAATGTGAATGGTTAGGGTTTTAGAGGGGCGGGGGGTGGGGGGATGGGTTAGCCCGGTGATGGGTATTAAGGAGGGCACATATTGAATGGAGCACTGGGTGTTAACATGCAAAAAACAAATCATGAAACACTACATCAAAAACTAATGATGTAATGTATGATGACTAACATAACGTAATAAAATAAAATAAAAATAGGGCGCCTGGGTGGCTCAGTTGGTTGAGCGACTGCCTTCGGCTCAGGTCATGATCCTGGAGTCCAGGGATCGAGTCCGGCATCGGGCTCCCTGCTCAGCAAGGAGTCTGCTTCTCCCTCTGATCCTCTTCTCTCTCGTGCTCTCTATCTCTCATTCTCTCTCTCTCAAATAAATAAAATCTTTAAAAAATAAATAAAATAAATAAAATAAAAATAAATAAAAAGAACGTGACTAGTTAAGAAAGCCCTCACAAAGGAAGAGATATTCAAGCGAGTCTGGAAGAACGTCAGGCAAAGAAGAACATTCCAGAAGTGATGAAGTAAATGATGATGTAAAATAGAATCCTGAAGAAAGAGCTTCTTATGGAAAACATGTTAAATTCAGTGTGACTGGAACAAAGAGTTTGAGAATAGGATGGAAGAAGGGGAGGAGATTAGGTTGAAGAGGTTGGTGTAAAGGTGGGTAGAATCGATATGAATCAGATAAGTAAGAGAGGACAAGAATGTATGGACTCTTTTTACATCTTGCTTTTCAAACCTAAGGAGGTCAAAGGGAGTAATGCTGTTCGAGATGACAGTTACTAATAGGCCACTCAGTTCTTATAAGCACTGGTAAGTAGCTGTCAGGAACAAATACTACATGTGTTTTATTTCCATCTTTTCTCCGACTACAAGTCTACTAAATGACTTTTATAAATCGCCACAAGTGTCGTTTAGGTTTACATTGCACAGATTATCCTTGTTACTTTATCTTGGTTATTGTTTACCAAAAACATTGTCTCTTACACTTTTCTCCAATATAGGTCTCACAAAGGGGCCACTTTTTTTTTTTAAAGCAACTTATGTAATTCCATGCCTTGAGGAACCTGATCATAATTTAAAACCATTAAACAAAGTATTTTCCCGTCACCTCTCTTTTGTGGGCTCATACATTGCCTTACCCTCCCTGTTCATCATCACAGCTAATATCCCTGCTCTCTTCCTTTATTCCACTGGTAGTTCTTCTCAACTACCTTTGTATTACAGGACTTTGTATTACACTAACTCTACACATAATAAACACTATCTTTGAGAGAAGATGGTAAATTTCCAAATTAACTTCGTTTGCTCGTCTGCTTTAGTCTAATGTTAATGAGGGATCAACAAGAATGAGACCTGGATCAGGTGATCCTACTCAACTGGCCTTAGCGATGAACACTCGGAGGCAGTGAGCAGCTCATTAAGTTTGGGGTCTTTGCTTCAAATGGGGGGTTGCTCGTCACTCCTACCCTCTCAAATATCGGCAGTGAAGTGAGGACAGGAAAATAAACGGAAAATAGGCTCTTTTTCGCTCTTTAAAATGTAGCACAGCTAAATTTCAAAATGTCTTCGCTGGGCCCACCCTGGGGATAAGAACCTAGTTAGGAAGTCAGGCGAGAGTCCTTTCGGCTGAGAAAGCAGTCACCAAATGGGCACCGATCACTCACTTGGGGCAGACACCATGAGAAGCTCGGAAAGGTCCGGGTACATGCGGTCTTCTTGCAACTGACGGTCGATGAGCCGCCCTGCATTTTCCAGAGCTTCCTGCAAAGCTGAGGCCGACGTGGAGGCCGGCATCGCCGAGCCCAGTAAAGAAGACGGCATGTCGAGACTCGGAAACACCAGCGTCTGGAAAAAGTAAAAAGCCAAGGAGAAAAAGAGAGAAAACCCCAACACCCTAGCTCAGACCCACAGCTTAGAGCGCGCGCGCCAAGCGAGAGCCTCGGCGCCTGTGCATGACGCACTTCCGGTTCATCTGGAGGGGAATTTGAAGGCTGCGTTTTGAAGCTGAAGAGAGGAAGCCGTTGAGGGGGCTGGACGTTAGGGGGCGGAGCGAGTGAGCGGAGGCACTTTCCCGGGCGTAGGTTGGATGCTTGAGGGTAGGGGAGGGGAAAATGCGTGGAGGTTATCTAGGGAATGGAGGAAAGAAGGGGAAAGGACCGGGAAAGGAGAGGGCCGGGAGGGGTGGGGAGGTGGAAGGGAGCAGGGGCCGGTAAGTGGGAGCTGGGTGGTGCCCGGCAGCGCAGGCTGCCCGGGTTCTGGTGGGTTTCGCGAGCCCTGGATCTTGGTGTCGCGAGCTTTGCAGGTTAGAATCTCTCAACTGCAACTACTTAAGAGTTTGCGCGTCACTTTCTCTGGTACTCCACAAACAACTGCCCTTGCGAGAGTGGATAGGAGTTGATAGCTTGTCAGAAACAGATTACGTGTGAACCAAAATTTCACTACATTTCTTAGGGGCTTCACTGTAAATTCATCAGACTTTTCTGGCCGGGTCAGTCAGTAGAGCATGTGACTCTGGGTGTCTGGGTGGTGAGTTCAAGCTCCACCTTGGGGTGGAACCTACTTCAAAAAAATTCATCAGGGGCGCCTGGGTGGCTCAGTCGGTTAAGCGGCTGCCTTCGGCTGAGGTCATAATCCCAGGGTCCTGGGATCGAGCCCCGCATCGAGCTCCCTGCTCGGCGGGGAGCCTGCTTCTCCCTCTCCCTCTGCCTGCCTCTCTGCCTACTTGTTCTCTCTATCTATCTGCCAAATAAATAAAATCTTTAAAAAAAAAATTCATCAGGCTTTTCTGTTTGTGTATGGCTACTGTTACTATAAAGAATTGTGTGTTTACTGAGTCTTCGTTGCGTGCAGGGGGCTGGGCCTTCCTTTATCTCTCATTACAGAGAGGAAGAAGAGTGTTCTAATTCATTGGTTGATCCCCATCACAGAGTAGAGGGACTGGTATAAAGTAGGTCACCCAATACATCACCAAGTCCTACAGAAATTGAATTTATAATTTGTGTCAGGCGCTGTGCCTGGTGCTGGGAATATCAAACTGACACATTCCTGTCCTCAAGGTGCTTCATGGAGGGACACACAAAGTAAAGCAATAAAGTGCATCACCGTAATTTTTTATGGGGTATGTATTAATTGCAATAGGAGGATAAGATGAGCAAGAAGAGGTTAGATAGGTTCATTTCACACAGAAGGCAACTGGAGTGGTCAAATCAAAGCACTCTTTCAAAGAGCATTCCTTATTTAGAAATACTAGAATTTGTCCTTATTTAGTGCTCATTTAGAACCACACTTAAGTAAGCTTTATCTCCTTACAGTCTTTTTTTTAAAAAAGATTTTATTTATTTGAAAGCGAGAGAGCGCACACGAGAGGGGGGGAGGGTCAGAGGGAGAAGCAGACTCCCTGCTGAGCAGGGAGCCTGATGCAGGACTCAAACCCGGGACTCCAGGATAGTGACCTGAGCCAAAGGCAGTCACTTAACCAACTGAGCCACCCAGGCGCCCCTTCATCCCCTTGTATTCTTAATAGTTTAGCTAGTCAGTAACTGAAT